AATATTATCCTACCCTCTAGGATTCCGAACTAACCGGCCATATCACTTATCACATAACATCATCCTACCCTCTAGGATACCGATCTAACAGATCATACTAACATAACATAACCAGATAAAAATCCAAAGGGCCGGCCTTGGTACCTTAGACCCTTGAGTATAGTGAGGATAATTCACCTCGCAACTAACGCGCTGAAATGATAAGCTCCACGCTCGGATCACTGTCACAAACTCCACCACCTATATTTACCATCAAACCATGATCATAAATTTCCAATTTCCCAAATGCCCCCAGAAGTCAACTAGTCAAAGTCAAAGTCAAAGGTCAAGGTCAACAATCCATGTTGACCTCAACTCGTCGAGTACCCTTAGCTACTCGCCGAGTTCCTGCATAACTTGTCAACTCGCCGAGTCACTAGAGTGACTCGTCGAGTTCCTACGGTTTGCGGCCGTAAACTCCTTGGCCAACTCGTCAAGCTTCCCTTACAACTTGCCAAATTCAAATGTGTCCAAGGGTTGGGAAAAACCCTAGCCGACTCGCCGAGTCACCTAACTGACCCGCCGAGCCCACGACTATCTTCATCGGACTCGCCGAGTTGACCATCCAACTCGTCGAGTCCCTTCAGTCCATATCCAAACAGATGCTTATTAAGCCATCATAAGGTTCCATATTGCAAATCCAGCTTCCCAAGGCATGTTTATCACGTAAAGTTGCAAAGTTTACGTGCATGCAAGGCTCTAAAGTCTTATAATGACAAAACCAAGCTTGCAATGGGGTTTTACACTTAAGGAGGGGTTCATACTTTCCAAAGCTGATAGCTTTATGGACTTAGAGACCAAAGAGAGTTCAGATCTGAAGTTACAACCTCAGATCTTAGCTCATACCCAAGAATAGCTTCTTATTATACTAGAAAAGCCCCAATCTTTAATCAAATGGGATCTAAAAGGAAATGAGATCAAGGTAACGACTTGATACCTTCCAAGAGATGCCAACTGAGGTAGATATCAGATCCCCACACGTCCTTTGCTCCTAGCCACTTGCTCTCCAAGTTCTTCTTACAAAGATCCATCTCCCAAAGCTTAAAACACACAAGGATGAAGCACACACACGGATTAGGGTTTGTTGAACTCTCAAGAGGCTGTAAGGGGGATGAAGGAGGCTTATGATCCTTTAAATAGGGTGCAATACCCCGGAAATTAGGGTTTCATCCTCCGGCTCCAACTCGTCGAGTCACTCTTCCGACTCGGCGAGTTGGTCACTTAAACACATGGCTCCAAACCCGCTGCTACTCGACAAGTCAGGGCATCCAACTCGTCGAGTAGACCTTGAAACTTGAAAATTAAAACCATTAATTAATACTTTGAGAATCAGGGCGTTACATTCTAGCTTCTAGCGTTTGACAAAACACTCCGTTTTAAACAGAAAGTCTTGTTTGGCAATAAAAGCTTCCAGCGTTTAGTTTAAACAAAACGCTTCAGATCCAAATGCTACTTTACGTAGCGTTTAACAAAACGTTACAAGCTACAAGCTACCCGCTATCAACTAGTTTTGCCGAACAAGCCCAAAGTATCTACCCAGTTATAGCAATAAAAAGTTATGTTACAAATAACAATTTGCAAAACTTTTTTTTTCATTTAACAACTACATTTGACAGCAACAAATCTGGAAAAAAAATGTCTTCTGCATGGTCCCTACACTAGTTTTTTGATTAAGTTAGGTTGATAAATGAATACATATTAGGCCGGACGGAGTGGTGAGCGGGGAAGTCGCGGGAAACGATCCCGCACTAAGAAACACCGCACCGGGGGTGCGGGAAAGGAAACGCGGGAAAAAGGTGGAGGAGGGAGTCCCGCACTCTCTCTCTTCACATGATTGGATGTTTATTTTTTTTTTCTTTTTTTGATTCCAAACGGGAAGGAAACGCGGGAAAAAGGTGGGGGAAGGGCTTCTCACCCATTCCTTGGGTTTTAGGTGAGGGAAAAAGAAGTGAGAGAAATGGGTGTATGACCCACAAAAAGTAAGGAAAACTTTTATCACATACCCTCCGGTCTTATAACTCATGTATTTGGTTTCTTTTCCCAATATTACATAAAAACCAAAAACATTTTAACTGTTTTCTTCTTTTTATATATATCCACCGATTCACTAACATAAATATAAAATTTAAAACAAAAAAAAATCATCAAACTAACAACTAATCATTCATCAAAAAAAAAAATAAATAAATAAATAAATAAATAACTCAATCCAAGACTTCCACTAATTATTATTTCATCCCAAACATAACATAAAGTAAACTAATAACCTCTTCAAAAAAAATACCAGATAGCACTATAGGAGTTCCTGCAAACAACACTAATTATTAAAGAGTGTCGAGCCATTTTAGGTTTTTTTCGAGAGAAAGAGATATCAAATTTTTGAATGAGGCAAGTTGTTTTGAAGTGGCACCATAGTTTAACAAAATAATTATTATTATTATTATATGTATATATATCTGGTGGGGCTCACATCCAAGTCAGGCCATACACCCCACTTAACATACATTGCCTCCGCTACTTGTGAAGTTAATTCAAAATGAAAATCAAAGAAATGTTTTATGTAAAATTAACTCTTGAATGTAAATATGTAATGCTGTAAAGAAAAATATACATGTGTTTAGTAGTCGAAAATTTACGAAATATATATAAAAGCATTATTAGCTTGAATAACACCTAAATGGTGATTATAAGGTTGATGTCATAATTAATCTGTGTCGTTGCATGTTAAATGATTTGGAAGAAACTTGTAGGATAACTTATTAATTAGTTTAATTGATTAAGTTTAGCAAGTGGATTATAGTCATTCGCGGTAAAAATCGGACCCATGCTTAAGAGGGTCGAAAGATATACATTATGGGTTGATATCATTGAGAATGTATTGACAATTTGATATGAGAAACTCATTGATACAACAATTATGTTTTGTTTTAGGGTGTATTCTATAAAACTAATTGAAAGTTGGGGAGCTGATAACTAGTAGATGGAAGTTGGAAGCTAGAGCTGTAACTTTTATTTGTATGAATGTACGGAAAATTAAAGTAACTAAAAACTTTTAAAACATGTATAGTTACATAAAATTACTTATATAAAATACAATCTTGAATTTTTTCTTAAAAAAAAAGGTAAATAAGTCAATTTGCAAAACTATAAAATAAATTTTGTTAATCACAATACCTTTTTGATTTGGAGTCTTTGTTTTAGTTAAAAGCTAAAAACTACTACTACAGTATAATTTTTTTCTTCCAAGCTTTTTCTTAAAGATCAAAAAGTTAGAAGTTCTAAAAAAAAGAGTGTATCAAACATGATAATCATTTCAATATCATATTTTTGTCAATCTTTGAATGGACATGCCACTTTGTTTGGAAATTGTTTTTAAATATTATCAAGCCGTGAGACCCGGTTAACATTGATTTTACGATTTGTACATAAAAACCAATTAATAATATTCCATGTTAAAACAAAATTAAACAAGATTATAGTATATTCTTATCTATCAATATACTATCTCAAGACTTTCACTGTTTCATATTTAATGCGACTCATATAAAGTGACCAAATTGGGAACTAAATAAATGTATCGTTGAGTATCTTTCAAAGCATTTCCCTTGTAACACCTCCTAAATGTTGTATTTTATGTTTGATTATGATGTGTAAATGGAGTATTTTGATGTGTTGGTCGGTTTAATTTAACGATTGATCAAATATGTAAAATATTTACAATATATATATGTAATGATTTTAAAATTATGGACCAAAACCAATACTTCTAATGGCATGATTACTAGCAAATGAAAATGTAAAGTTGAATTTAAAGTAATACAGCAGAGCAGAACGTGGTAAAATGACAATAATGACTATGCTTTGCATTTTGAATTGTGAGAAATTTCTAAGAAGCTTCATCCTTCGACTCTTTTCCCGTTTTTGAAGGAAGAAATAAAAACCCTTAACACTGAAATATTTTCAGTTTTCACCATGAAAGGAAAGTATATGTTGCATCACCAACAAACATTGAGGGGAATCTTTATAAAATGCTGTAACTTCGTGGTAAGATTTGTTTATTATCGTATTTCTAGTTTTTCTATAAATTAATCACAATCATAATATTAAAATATTGTTAAATGTTTGGTTATATAACGACAAAGCATGTTTTTCTTATAATTTATGCAATAAAATTGTTTATAGACCAGATATATAATAACATTTTATTTTAAGAATAAAATATAAAGTAAATTACACGAATCGTCCTTTATGCAGTGTCAAAATACATGTTTAATCTCTATTTTCAAATTTTAACTCAGACTGTTTATCGTTTCTTTTAAAACTACATGCTTCATCTCTATTGATAGAAAATGACTATTTTGTCTTTAATAGTTTCTTTTTTTCATTTTCTTTTATTTCTTTACCAAATTTAAATTAAAAAAAGAAAATAAAACAAATATTCCACTACTAGAAAACAGCTCTTTAATGACACGCAACCAATGACACGTGCTTATTTACGATACATATTTTTTGCGTGTCTTAAAAATAATGTCAGTTTTCCAAATTTTTGAAGGACAAATGCGTGCCCTAAAATTAATGTCCAACAAAAAAAAATTAAAAACACGGAGGGCACCTAAATTAAATGGGTGTCGTGTATAGATGTCGTTTTATAAAATTTTAATACTCGCTCCCTCATTAACAGCTAAGGGGGGAAACAAAATCCCCAAAAATTTTGAAGACCCCGCTTCTTCTACATCTGCTCATTCTCTCCTCTCCACCCACCAGCCGACAAAGACCTTCATTTTCTCCTTCCCTTCTCTCTGCAAACCCTAGAAACCGCAACCACCATCAATATATCCAGAAGCATCTTCCCTGTTTGCGTTTGAAGGAAGCATCGGCTTGTGGTGGCGTCTCCGGTGGAAATAAAAGGTGAAATTGAAAACTCCCTCCGGGTGGTAGAGAGAAAGAGATAATAAATAAAAATGGGAATTGAAGTCGGGGAGACCTTCGGTGTCGGACGTCCCGATATGAGAAGTGGTAGAGAAGATGCCGGTCCAGCTACCACCCCAACCAGTACCTCCAACTTCGTACGCCGGTGGTTCTCACGGGCGGCTCAGCCGGAGATAATAAGAGCGGCGCAGAACGATTACAAGGGCAACTATATCGTATCAGAATGAGGTTTGTTTCCTTTTTTGAACCAATATGTAACTTCATAATTTCCCTAACTCTTCTAAGAACGATTCCAACATTTTGGATCGTATTTTTCTTTTCTTGGATTCTTTTCGAAGAAAAGAACTTCCCACATATTATACCAATTTTGTGGGCATCAGGGACTTATGTAGCAGCTAGTAAACAATTTGAATTCACATTTTTCTTAGATAAATTTCACTCTTATGCTATGAATACATGTTTCTGCAGTTACACTTCTCAAATGGGTGACCTAAAAGAGCGTCTCCTCCCACCAAAACCTGCATCAGCTATATACCTTAGAGATGCATCATACAGGCCATCTGCATCAGGTCACCAACCTTTCAAGGAGTAGATGTTTTAGGCCTCAAAAAGTGTGGTCAAGGTCTTCCTTCATGGATCCGTGTTGATGCTGCAACTGGTGATTCCCAAGTCATTGAAGTTGACAAATTTACTATAATGAGACGTTGTGATCTTCCTGCTCGTGATCTTCGCTTACTTGATCCATTATTTGTCTACCCTTCAACAATTCTTGGAAAAGAGAAGGCTATAGTTGTAAATTTGAAACATATTTGTTGCATTATAACAGCTGATGAAGTTGTGCTTTTGAATTCTCTTGATAGCTATGTGTTACAATATATGGTGGAATTACAAAGACGATTGAAAGTTGCAGGGGGTGGTGAGGTGTGGCAATCTGAAGGGGCAGAGTTGACAAGACGAATGGGAAATTCAAATAGGTCCTTAGGGGACATGTTTGGTAACACTTCACCTGAGTACTTTCCCTTATAAAATAAATATGTTATAACCTAAAATAAATAAATTAATACTACATCTAGATATAATAACTTATAAGAAATGATAATTTTTTTTAAATGTTGTGACCTTGGTTGGATAGATCATGCAATGTCTCTCTATTCAAGGTTTGTCTTCATCGGGAGGTGGTTCTGTTGGTGGTGATGGAGTTGGTAACAGCAGTGGAGCTTCACGAGCACTTGTAAAGGATAGGTTTGTCTTTTCAACTATTTGTTATATATTTAAAAAAGAATTAAAAAATTGGTTGATATATAAATTGAAATGTGGTGGTTTAACTATAGGTTGAAGATCTTCAGTGGTCAGTTTGAAGAGCTTCATCAAAGACAATCTCAATGGACCGTTCCTGACACAAAGCTTAGAGAATCTCCCAGACTTGCAGTTGTTGAAGTCTTGTTTCCTGCATACAGATCTTTCATTAAACGTGTTGGGTACATTTTTTTATGTAATCTATCTCAATTCTCAGGCTCAAATAAATGAAAAAAAGTAAACAAATATTTTGTTTTCTGTTTTTTACAATTACAAGGTACTTGTTGAGAATAGGAAGAATCCCCACAAGTACATAAGGTATTCAGCAAAGGATCTTGATCGGATGCTTGGTGAATTTTTCGAGGGTAAGACATTGAACGAAGCAAGATGATAGAGATAGCAAGATGTTGAATTACTCTTTTACTGTAACATCCCATTTTTCTAAGTAGCTTCAAATTCATCCCTCGGATTTTAATTAGGTCATTTTGGCCCTTGGTTGGAAGGAAGTGGCAAGAAAGGACCATGCATGCAAAGGTGGCAGCTGGGTGTGTACGCCCAGCGTAAGCTGGGGTACGCCCAGCGTAGGAGGTTAAATGGTCGCGGGTGTTGGAAGACGTACGCCCAGCGTACGAGATGTACGCCCAACGTACGCTCAGTGGCACAAAACCCTAATTTTAGGGTTAAGCACTATATAAAGAACATGAGGACTGGAACCCTAACCCCTTATCAACCTCCCCAACTTCAGAAAAACCCTAGAACGTCTCATCCCTTCATTCTTGTGTATTTTAACCTTGAGAAGCCCATTTTGGTGATTTTTAAGCTTGGAGGAGGGAAGAAGAAATTGGCAAGGAAGAACTCGGGAAGTTGGAGCTCATAGATCTGGAATAGCATCATCATTTGAGACTGTTTGGAGGTATAAAGTTCATAACTTTCCTCAAGAATGCTTAGATCTAGAGTGATTTGATTTTGAAGTCATTTTGGTCCCAAGTATAGAACTTTTTGGTTCAAATCCGATTTTTGGACTTAGAGTTGCCACTCTCAGTTCAAAATGAGTCCCTAAGGCAGGAAGTTGCCATCTTGAATGTCTTATTGGATTCATGCATGAGTTAAGATCATTTCTATAAGAATGGAATGCTATTTTGGAGTTTGGGCTTATTAGGCTCATGCAAAGTCACCAAGTCAGTGACTTTATGTGTTAAGACGTTGAAAAGGGCTTGGATCTGTGATTGTAGCTTCTGGTTTGGAGTATTGTGCACTTAATGGGAAAGTGACTTAGCAGAGGAGTACGCTGAGCGTAAATGCAAGTACGCCCAGCGTACTCACCATTTAGCCAGTACGCCCAACGTACATAGGAGTACGCCCAACGTACTCACAGATATGGGCCTTGCAAGTTTTGGGCCTAGGTTTGGGCCATGTAGGGGATTTTGGTCCTTTGGGCCTTGGTGGGCCATCAGAAGTCAGTTAATGTGGGCCAAGAATAGGTTTGGGCTCAAGTTAAGGCCTATTAGAGGGATTAGGCCCAATTTGCTAATTGGGCCATTAGTGGGCCACTAGTGGGCTTGGAAAGCCTACCTAGTGTTGGGTTTTGGTTTTGGTTTTGGGCCTTGGCCCAAATTAGAGAAAAGACAAAATGGACAATATGGACCCCTTAGTCGGGATTGATAGCCCACATGTTGACTCAATATTCGTTATGTTGGATAGTTTGGGATTTTCGGTGAGACAGCATTTCGGGAGTCGATACTTTAGTTCAGACCGGCATTGCGAGGTGAGTTATTCTCACTATACTCAAGGGTCTAAGGCACCAAGGCTGACCCTTTGATTTGTTATTTGATATTGTTACTGTTGTGATATGTTAGCTCGGTATCCTGGTAGATAGGATGGTTATATGCTAGTATGATCTGTTAGATCGGTATCCTGATAGATAGGATGTAGTTATGCTTAGATACATGTAGTTGGTCTGACTGTCTGTATACTGTTAGGTGATTACCTGTTATATATGCACATGCTTGTTATGGTAGTTGAGGGTATTCCATCCCGAGGATGAGTGGAACCTAGTATGTTGTCTTTGTTGACTGTTATATGGTTATCTGATATAGGTGCACATGTTTGATTGGTTATGTTGGCATTCCAACCCGATGGTTGAGGGTCTGGGGTATTCCAACCCGATGGTTGATTGGACCCATAGTATGTTGGCATTCCAACCCGATGGTTGAGGGCCTGGGGTATTCCATCCCGATGGATGATTAGACCCATAGTATCCGTTATATATATATATTGTGTGTGGGCATTCCAACCCGATGGTTGTGGGCCGAGAGTATTCCATCCCGAGGATGATTGGACTCGTAGCATGTGGGCATTCCAACCCGATGGTTGAGGGCCTGGGGTATTCCATCCCAATGGATGATTGGACCCATAGCATGCTGTTTGTTATTGTATGTGTATGGGTATTTTGGGGGTAACTCACTAAGTTTTCGGGCTTACAGTTTCAGTTTATTGTTTCAGGTTCAGCGGGTGACCGCGGGAAGGCGAAGGCGTGACCGTACACTTCCTCGATTGATGACTATGATTTCTGGGAACTCTGATGTTTAAACTATTTTGAAAACAAATTGTAATAACTAAGTGGTTTTAATTGATTTAAAAAGTTTTAAATTGACTCGAATTTTATGGATGTTACATTTACCCTTGTGGTATGTTTGGTGAGTATTTAAAACTATTATTATGTGAACGTTTGGATACTTTTGATAGAAACTTGTCATATTTAAAACTATAATATGGATGTAACACAATAGACCCACCAAAATCTATATATTCATATGATTATGCAAATTAAAACAATAAAACAAGTCCTCGTGTCCCTTCATAAAAACACACAATCGATAAAAGAAAAAACAATAAGAAAATCAAAAACCTTTTGGCCTTATGCAGCAGCCTCAGGCTTCTCCATTTCCATGGCATCAGAATTCTTATTGTTGTCTGCTGCTTTTGGGTTTGAGCTTGCAACATTCTCTGAACCAGCCTGCTGCTCAGGTGCAGGTGAGGGTGGTGCCTCTGGTTGTCTGGCTACCTTTGGTGGGGCCAGCTTTGGTTTCAAAATTATTGGCCTACATGCCCTGTAGACACATATAAAAATTAAAACCAATATTTACTATATTTTATTTAACAAAAATAAAAAAGTGGAATATCTTATATATTATACATGTCGATTGCCTCTGATTTCCTTTTATATCAGATGACAGAAGAACTAGATCAACCTGTTTGGGAAATGAGTCCTGCTATTGTGTCTTCTCTCTCAACCAGTTTTTTGCTTCTGAGCATTCATTCAACACCTGGAGAAGGTACATACATAAGTCAGAATTAAAATAAAATAATAATATATTTATGTATAGAGAAATAGAGAAAGAGGGATTTTACGATTATAACCTTTTGTTTGTCATTCAAGTCAATGTGTTCATATTTTGGATCACCGGATGCATGCAAACCAGGCCTACAACACATGATTGACTGCCTCCTGAGCCTACAACCTACGGTTGGGATCGCTCTTGTAACGTCCCGAAAATCATGACATAAAAATTTTGTTTTATATTAATAAATCGTTAATACATATCTTTCCCATAAAACCAAGGTAACCAAGATTTAACAAAACATCATCAAATCAGAGTAATTCACATAATGCGGAAACTTGTGGTGTGTGCTCTGCAATCATCCCAGGCTCTTCCATTTGAAAACTAGGGTACTTGAAACATAAACTGAAAACCATAAGCACAAAGATTAGTGAGTTTTTCCCCAAAATACCACATACATACAACCACAGAATATCATGTGACATACATATAGGTGTCATGGGCTCCCTCTATGGTCTTTACCTGGGATGCCATGGGCTCCCCCCATGGTCTTTACCTGGAATGCCATGGGCTCCCCCATGGTCTGATATCCAAGTGCCATGGGCTCCCCAATGGTCTTTCATGCAAGCATCACAAAGATAACTAGCATTCAACATAACAAGCAATGGGCCGACATTGGTGCCTTCGACCCATGGATATAGTGAGAAGTCTCACCTTGGACAGCTGAAACCCACAGATACTATCTGACTGCAGATCTGCTACAATCCCCACGCTATCAAACAAATTAACACCCAATTAACAATTGGGTTCCACACCTAATCCAATAATCTATATATGGGGTAAAAATACCATTTTACCCCTCACCTAATTTGGTCAAAGACTAAGGCCCAGACTCTCAATCATAAAAGGTCCACAAACCAATAATCTTCCAAAGCCCACTTATGGAAAATTGGGCCCAAACCCTTACTTGGGCCTTACCCTAAAGCCCACTACTTATCCCTAATCCAAAACACACCTTCTCAGACGGCCCAACAAAGCCCCAAGCAACCAAGCCCAAAACATACAAGGCCCAACAGACCGAGTACATGGGGCGTACAAGCACGTATGCACAACGTACTCGCTTAGAGGCTTGTACGATAAGCGTACTCTCTTGGAGGCTTGTACGCTAAGCGTACCTGCTTGTATGCCCAACGTACTCACCCTTATTCAGCCCAAACTCGATTTTCACTTAATCCATTAAGACAAAGCATCCAAAACACAGATCTGACCTCCTTGAGTTAGATTAACACGTAAAGTTGCCAAATTTACGTCCATACAAGGATAAAAGAAGCTCTTAATCTTAAAAGGGACTTAATGGTTGGCTTAAAGCATGCATGATGCCAAAATACACATAAAGCTTGCACCTTTATGCTCAAGGATACCAAAACAAACTCAGGTCTGAAAGGATGAACCCTTAAACAACCTAACTCATCCATAATCTAAAAAAGAAGACCAAAATCATAATAAGCTAGCCATTAAGAGATCTAATCATACATAAGCCAAGATGCAAACTTGTTACCTCAAAAAGCTTCCCCACAAGGTGGTGAATCTGGATCTAAAGCTTTCCCACAAAGCAAAACAACTTTAAGTTTCTCTTCTTTCCTTCCCAAGGGAAAAATTGAGCATCAAAGGCTCTCAATAGCTTGAGAACACCTCCAAGGGGCTACAAGGTCGATTTAGGGTTTTTAGAGTGTGGAGGCTGACTTATAAATGAGGGAAAGAACTAACATAAATCTTTTATAGGGTACAAATACGAAAATTAGGGTCACACAAACCCTCGTACGCCCAACGTACGAGGTCTCACACCCGTCTCCCATCTCCGAAGTACTCTAAGCGTACGCTCCATTACGCATGGTGTAACCCTCACCACATCAGTACGCCCCGCGTACTAGGGTCTTCCCTCAAACCCTAATCTATTTTGAAGGCCATAACTTCTTTGATACAACTCCGATTCCGACCATACTTATATCCATGAAAAGGTATCGAGAAGCTCCACATTATTATCAACTCA